AAACCCCAAAACCCCCAAAACCCCAAAACCCCGTCAATAAGAATTTCAAACCAAAATTATGAAATTATCAATAATATAATTAATATATGACCATATTTCATAGCATTCTAAATTTATTCATTTATAAGATTAACATCATATCTTTTCATCTCCTCCTGCCATATTACTAAATTTAAGAGCGACCTTAACTCAATGGACTAACATCTCTTGACTACACTTGTGAATCATAGTATTGATCTTGCAAGGCTCTTAGCTTAGATGTTCCTCCTAATGCCATTCCCCCATGTCTGGATATCTTCTTAGAGCTTGTGTCCCCAAACAACTTGCTCTTTGCAGTCACATTTTTAGTCGAGAGTTCGGGTTTGTGCAGATAAATTTACTCCAAATGCTTGAGCTTACTGTCCATTCTCTTTAACTACTACTTACTTCTTTGCAAATGAGTGGGACCTCTTCTTGACAACTAACTATCATTACTTCCCCTAGAATCACTTCTCATATCCTACTCATACATCTTTAAATTTGATCTTTAATGCCTCTTGCGACTGTTGCTTCTATTCTGCTCATCTCTATACTTTTGCCCGATGTTGAAATTCTCATTAAAGATTGCGTCATCATCCTCATCTTCACTCTGATCGATGTATTTATTTACCTCGTCTGCATAAATCTTATCTACTTATGACTCATTTTGCTTAATGCGTCTTTAGTGAATTTTCCTTTACAGTCTATCATCATTATGTGTGAAATTAAAGTTGTTGCTCTGGCTCATCTAGTCCACATCTCCTTCGAGGAAGTTATTATAGGATTGATCATCGCTGGGATCATGATTGGATACCATATATTAATTCTTTTTAACTTAAAAGTTGTTTTACCCTGAGAAGTCGTCTGTGAATCCTAGAGCTGAAATAGCGTTCTATTTGAATATGCCGCTGCTTGAGTGAATATTTGCAGTCATATTCATGTTTGATTTTGAACTCATCAGTCTTGTCTGCTGATCTCTGGTATTATACTCTGAATCTTAAAGTTATTGCATGGTTTACCTCTAATCAGTTCTTTATTTTAACTAAGACTTGGCTCTATTTTAATATTTCTATGGTAGATATGAGCTAATTGGTCTCTAGATTGAATAGGCATTTAAGACTTTTTCCCCTTATCTTACTTACTTAGGTCTTGCTGGGAGTGCCGATTGCTTTCTCTTTTTATGTTTACTGGACTCGCCTTGATTAGGGATGTTTTTGATTTTATCCATAAGTGGTTCCGGATCACTCATACCTTCTTCTTAGTCCAAATAGTTATTTTAACTAGCAATATCATGAGTATCCATATTAAAGTTGTTCGCCATTTGCTAAGGATACTAATTTAATTGATATGGCTAGGGTTGATTGAAATTTATGTTTGTATTATTGCTTATCTACTACAGTTGTATTTGCTATAATTGCTAATTGGGGTAAGCTTACTGCTAGAAATCCAAAATTTAGACAGTACTCTTGTTCATATTCTTATCAATGTTTATGTTAACAATGTCTTTTTGCACTAGATCATCAAGCTGTAGTTATCTGTCTAACTGCTAATGATTATCTAATGCAGCAATATTTTATAAATTCTGAGACTGCTAAAGCATCTCTAGTTGTTCTTAGATTAAGACTTATTCCTCATCCTTAAAAAGCAAGTCTTAGTTCATTTCATTTAATAGATTCTATTCAAATACATTATCCACTACTTATTATTGACTTTTGTGTCCAGAGTACAAAACACCCATTCTAAAAAGCTTTGGTAACTGATTAGCCTTTTTATTCTCATCTAAAACTAGCAAATCTTTTCTAATGAAAACATTTCCTTTTTTATCAAGTATATTTCCTTCCTCGTCAACTAAGAAGCCGAGTCTGTTAACTAGCTTTCCATCATTATCATAGAATATTGCCTTCCCTGTATACAGATTTTCTTAGACTTAGGATGTAGTAAACATAGGTAACCTCTATCCATCAAAGTCTAAGTTGCCTATGAGCCATTCAATTTTAAACTTCATGAATGGGAATAGCTTTGGTGGTTCATTAAACATCAACTACGATTTAAAGAACACTATTTTACCATCTTAGTTAATGATATTCCCAATTTTATCTACTAAGTAGCCGTTTGGATTAACCTTACGCCCGAGTTTGTCAACTAAAGTGTTTGGCTCATACATATCAGGATTTAGAATAATCTACTTAGTCATTGCATCTCTGTTGAACACTCCAATTACGCTTCTAATGTCAAACTATTTACCTTTAAAGTTAAATAGCATTGGCAAATCCCCTATGTCACTTAACTATTGTCTAATAAATTTGATTTTGCCAAAGTTATCAATGATGTTTTCATTCTCATCAACTAGAAAGCCCGAAGGATTTACTTATCTGAGATGCTTATCAACAAGCTAGCCTTGCTTGTTTTTGAGTATGATTGGCTTAAGATTGTTCTTTGTGTCATAATCGAAATTACCCATTATTTCATGAGGGTTGAAATTATATCTCTCAAACTTATAGGGCATTGGAATATCTCCATCCTCATCAATTTCTTCAATCTTAAACATCAGGTTTAGATTGTTTTTGTTTAAGATACATCCTATGTTTTCATCAATCAGATATCCTCTTCTATTAACTACTCTACCTTTCATGTCTCTTAAATTATTTTCTAAGACCTGCTCTCTCTTATTCAGAATGCCTCCCTTCCAGTTTCTTACAAATTCGCCTATTATATCGTTGATATTGAATGTCCTTTGGTTGAAATACTCAGTTTCGTATTAGTTTTAAAGTACTTCAAGTTTTTATATTTGAGATTGGATCTACTTTTCACTCTAGTATGACATTAATTATTGTTATTATTGCTAGCTTATGGATTTCTTTTAGCTTTAGGCAGCTGAGCTCCTTGATCTCATTGATTTATCAGACATAACTTTTTCTAAAGACTTTGCCATCTTGCTACTTTTTCTGGCTGCAGATTTCCTGCTATCTTTCTTTTAAATTTTGAGATTTTTCTTCTCTGTTTCAGAATCTTCTTCCTCTTCATCTATTTCCTAAGCAGTTTTTAGAAACTCTCTCTATGTATCAGCATCGTCTTCCAAAGAGAAGTTATCTTCTTAGTCTTCCTCGTTGATCTAGGTGTAGTATTAATTCTTATTTTTGCCTCTCTATTTCTTCTTTTTTCTGCGCTTTGAAGATAAATCATCGTGTAGACTTTCAATTGAATTCTCTGCTAAGATATTATCCGCAGCTCTGATGGAATTTTACCTACTAACACCTTTGCTTGAGGACTTCCGACTTTTCATACTCACCTTATCAGTTTGAATCTCAAAGTCATGAGTCTCTGGCTTTTCTGGTATTATAACTGGAGGAGGAGGGGGAGGGGGTGGATCTACAGCATCTGCATAAACATTATCAAATTTATATTCCTGTTATAAGAGCTCAACAAATTTCTGATTTTTAGCATCTTTTGCTTAATTTTGCTTCTTATTATTGAGCATAGTGGTTTTATCAAGACTTATGAATGACTAATCATTTATAGTTTGAGGGTTTCTCACTCTACTTTCGCCGGCCTTATAACCATCATACGAAACAGTCCTTCGATCATCTTCGCCAATCAATTCATCAGGAAAAACAACTAAAATATTTTGCATAGAATTAACTCGTCGAATGAATCTACTCTCAATTCTTGCTTCACTATTCATACTATTTTGAGTGAGTAAAGCATCAAATTAATTATTGATTAATAGCTCTCTGTTATTTTTAACCTAGGAAATGATTTCTTTTAAGGCCTCTTCTCTATCAAGTATTTAAATTTTAGATTCCTCATCATATCCTGGTGCTCCTGCCATCAATAGTTAATCCTTCACCTTCGATTGATCCAATTACGAATATAGAAGCCTAGCTTTCCTTTTTGCTTTTTACTCTTGAAGTTCCTCATGATAGGACAACCTTGAACACATACAGCAATTGTCAAATATCATTAGTAAAGCTCCAATAAAGCTTATACAACCACTTTCAGCACAGGTTATGTATAGCTAAGACCCCCAAGACAGATAAAGTAAGATTATTGCATCCAGAGCACACAAGGGTAAGGTAAACGTGAATATAGAAATGATAGAGAATATTTATACTTTTCTGGTGAAGGAAGCTTTATCATCAATCTTTGCGCTGAATCTTTCCATTCCAAAGAATCTTGAGTATAAAAATCTGAAGAGCTTGAAATTGATGCAGAGCGAGAAAAATAACATAAATAAAGTGGTACAAAAATAATTTTGTCTCCAGTAATTAAAACCAATGTCTGAGTACATTATTCTTGCACAATAAAAAATCACAAAAGCGAGATTGAGGAGATACAATCCGCATAGGATTCCAAATGATGCTAGAGAAATGATAGTATAGTTAATCTCATAAGTATATGCGTAGTATATTTGATAAAGTAGACAACCCCATTCGATAAATCCTAGAAGCGCAGCACAGTTTGAGAGTATTAAAGATTTATTTTTCGAAACGAAAAAGCCCACAATGCAAATTATAATGACTAGCACTGCTGCTCCAGCAAATGGAAAGTAAATAAGAGAAGCATTCAGCAGATAAGTTCTAAGTTCGCAAGCTGTTCCATCTTTTGACTTTATGTAATTGAATGGGCACTCTGTCAAGCACTGATTTTCATGAAGGGCTAGCCCTACTTCGCATTTAAGACAAATGGAATTATCATCTTTATCACATACCTCACATCCTGATTAGCACCCAACACATCTTGACTGAGTTATGTTGCTGTACTGTGGAGTGGTACCCAATGGACACTACTAGAGGCATTGCCTGCCAAATAATAATTGATAACCATTTTTACCATCACAGGTTATACAAGAAGTCTATGACCCTGGCATACAAGTTGCACAAGGACTGGTACAGCGAAGACAGTCAAATCCAAGCTTAGTGAAGCCTGAGGGGCATTCACTTACACACTTATCAATCCATAAGAGAGGCTTTGTAGAGTCCTGATAGCAAGTTTTGCACAATGTAGAGCTAAGGCATGTTCTACAGGGTGTGGAACATTCGCAGCATTCTTAAGTCTTACAAGTAAACTAGCCATCAAAGCATTTTTCTTAGCATGTAATTTTTGGAGTGTAAAAGTATGGATACAATGAAGAGCATGTGAGGCATTTATTAATGTCACCATCTTTATTTTGCTAGTAACAAGTGTTACATTTAGAGTCACATTTTTGGCAAGTCTTCGGAGATTTTGAACCATTTGAGGTATAACCATCCGAGCACTTATAAACACATGTTTGCTAGGCATCAGTAGCTTTTTAAATAAACTAGGGAAATGCAGTGTCATTAAAACAGTCAGTACAATAATCTGGATTATTCTAGTCACATCTTCTACATGGATAATTGCATTCAAGGGTTGGCATTAGACCACTTTCTATTTTATTAATTCTATAGGCATATGTGTTGTCAGTATAGATTCTTAGGATTATACTTTAAAGATTTGAATTATCCCCTGGGTTGGTAGCTAAGAATATAATGGAAACCTCTCCAATGTAGTTTGTATACTTAGTAAATGCACCTTCTACCTTGATCAAGTTTCTATCGATGATACAAACGCCTAAGAATACCTAAGTCAAGGCAGCATAGCAATAGTAGGAATTTTGCGACAAACCAATTATAGATGGAGCATTGATAAGGATTGCTGCATTACTTGGAATAGGATTTGTAGTTGTGAAAGTAATTGTAAAATTAGCAAATTCACTTGGGTTTTTATTGCTCTGAGAGAGTTTCCTATTATTGATATTTGATGACGTATCAGTGACAACAGTTAAGTCAGTTTTAGTATACTTAGAAATATCATAAGCACCAATAGTAGTACCGATTTTAATGTCGAAAAATGCTGAAGATGGCTAGGTACTTATTGGGTTTCTAACATTTTGCACTGTAAATGAAAAACTTTAGCCTGCACTTATTGAACTAACTTCACTAAATTAGATAAAAAGAGTATTCTAGTTTTTCTTAGAGCATTAAACTTTTTCTAAACCATTTGGCTTTGAATCATCAATGGAGCATTGAAGATTACTCACATCGGGGAGACTCACTTCAGAAGGGAAACCAATTTCCATGAAATCATTTGCTAGAATTGGAGTATTTGGTATCACATTAAAGGTATAATTAGAGAGAGCATTATTGGTGTTGTTATTTTTGTCAATCGTAATAGAAGTAATCGCTGATAAGGATGTCATTGTTGCTGTGAAATAGTCATATTAAGTTGAGGAGTCGATTCTTTTCATGTCAGCATCATAACTTGAAAAGTAAAATAATCCAGTTGTAGCTGTGCTTCTTGGATTTTTTAAACCAGCGACAGAAAATGTAAAAACAGAACCAATTGCAATACCATCACTAAACGCTCGTGAGTCGATATGAATTTAAATTTAAGAACTGTTCACAACTTGACAGTTCATATTTTTGGAGGTATCTACTCTGATACAGTTATTTGTAACCATAGATGATGAAGAAATTGAAAGCTCTTTAGGAATAGTGAAGTTCAGATATCCGTCCTAAGGCAACTTATGCTGCATAGTTACTGCAAATTAGTATACTTAATCGCTTAAGTATGTCACTGGTGAAGTAACTATGATATCAGCAGCTTTGAAAATCTGACCTCCAACAGGTACAATTTAGTTTGCAGCTGAAACACCTTGATCAACTATATAGTTAACACTGGAGATTCTAACGTAAGTAAAAATCTAGAATGTGCCAGCATCTCTTTCACTCTAGGGATTGATCCCGCTATCTATACTTAATTAGAGTTAAGTTCCACCTGAATATCTTGTTGCAAATGGACTCGTTATAGTGACAATTTATCCAGTGATAGAGCAAGCGATCGAGCTCGAATCAAATCTAGAACTTTTTGTTCTAATTGTGCAACCTGAGCTTGTAAGCGTAATTAAAGATGGAAATTAAATCACTATCAAACTAGTAGTAGCAGGTAGTGCATGATCTGGTGTAAAACTTATCTGATAAGCAGTTGACGTTTGAATTGCTATTGAATCAACTGCTGTTACTAATATATTTGAGATACTACCATACGTGAATAATGACTGAGCAGCTATAAAATTCTAAGATGAAGATATCTGAGCTATATTGATTGAAAATGATAGATCCTTGGCCAGAAATATTTGTATTGTTCCTGTTGCTTTAACTTAGTCCTATTGAGAAATTATTAAAAGAAGTTCAATTTCTTACTGGGTTTTTAATTTAGTTAAAGGTGAGAATACCAGCTTAGTCTGGACCATATTAAAAATTACAGGCAGGAATTACAATAGTCCTTGTAGCAGGATCATTCTAAATCATAGTTACAATATTTGAAGTTGATGATGTTCTAAAGAAGCCCGAGCCTGTAACCAGAGTCAATTTATCATCAATTGTGAAATCAGAAGGGAAAATCAACTTCATGTAGCATCCTTACTCCAATGGAACTGCTAAGGAAAACCTGAATTGTATTCCTGTGTATGTTTAAACTAAGGAAGAATCAACCAAAGATAAAAGTGATGATTAGAAACTGGCAGGTGTAGTAATTCCTGACAAACTAATAGATGATATGGTTTCTATCAAGTATCCATTTGAGTCTTATGTCATAACAGAAAAACCAGATTTAGTTTAAGTAGTGATGGGATTTCTGAAACTCGAGATTGTCAATCTCATATTTGAAGTTGAATCAGTACCAGCTGTTATTGTATAGATTACAGAGATTTATAGAGAAGAGCCAGTAAAACTACAAGATACTATATTGATAGCTGTAGCACCGATAAGCCCACTGCAAGTTGGTGAGGAACTCGCAATCATATAACTGCTTCCAGCATTAGTGTAGTACTGAGGTATTGTAATAACAACACCACCACTTGCCTTAAGAACAGTAGATGGAGTTAAACTAACTATTAATTATGTATTTGTAGCTCCTACCACAGCACTGGATGAACTTATAGAAGCTGAGAGCACTGCTGATTGAAAATTTGAAAGGGATGCGGATTAGGTTGAAGCCTTTATTGTGTTAGTTGTGCCTGAATACAGGTATAGCTCTATATTTGAAATAGTTCTGACACTGTCTGGATTAATAAAATTTGAAATTGTCCCTTCGATTGAAGCTGCTTAGCTTGATGTTGAAAATACTATTTTGGCTTCAGTAGAACTAGTTATTTGGCAAGAAGTAACTGTAAGTGATGTAAAAGAGCATGAGGGCGTGGTAGTAGTCCTAAATCTCACACCACTGGAGAGCAGTATTATCAAATAATCTGAGTTGACCACTCTGACAGATGATAAAAATAATTGAAAACCCAAAGTAGTCTGTCGACTCACAGTTGAGTCGCTAACTTGTATACTTGCAGCCACAAAACTTTCTAAAATATTAAATTAAATGAGCTATGTGTTTACCCTGAGCCAGTATTCGAAATGTAAGTGCCAAGATAAATAAAAGGAAATAAGTAGTTTTAAGAATAGAAATCATTTTAATATTTTAGAAAGCCCATTAAATTTTGAACATAATTAAAACAAATTAAAATTTTATTAGCTGTTTGAATCATCTCTTAGAAATTATGATTGTGTTGTGGGGTTTTGGGGTTTTGGGGTTTTGGGG